AAATAATAGGTCAGTTTAGCAAAGAGGCGAGGGAATATTAATGAATCCCCATTGTGAAAAGTAAATTATACAGTCTCATATGTGTGGTCAGGGGAAAAGAAAGTCGGAGAACATATGGAATGTAAGTGAACGTCCTTCAAACTAAGCAAACAAAAGGACACCGATATCCACACGCACCCACACGTACAAACGCGAATTTAAAATATCGGGTAAAGCAAAACAGCAATGGAAAAAGCATAGCCCTTGCACAGTCTCTCATTCAAAAAGTTATTTATAGTGGATACATATGCAAATTTATCATGTCATTGTTACAGTTATCATTATAATTATTATTATAATCATTAATGTCATTAAGTGACTACTTTGTAGTCAGTAAAAGAGACTTAACTTCCAGTAATTGAGAGATTTAGCACTGGGCAATTTTACTCGTACAACAAATAAACTGCAACAAAAGATGAATTTATATTAAGGGGGGGAAAAAACAATCATAAAACTCAGTAATAATATGGATAATGCAACAGAACAAGATTTTTAAAAACAACAGTTACTTGAGCATTCTATGTGGAATTTTCAATTCACCAAACAAATCAACAAATAGGCACATACAGAAACTAACAAACAAACAAAAGTCAAGCACATACAAACACAAAAACTCAAAAACACCTAAAAATATATGGATACACACGAATGAACAGGACAGAAAACACGTCTATCGATAGCAAATAGATATGGGCCAAACATTACCTTTGATCCGATAATAAATCAGTGATTTTAATTAAATGGCTAATTGCCTGTATAATTTACAATCAAAAAATGATTAACATTCATAAAAATGGCTTCAAAAAGGACAACAACTTTTCCTTCTTGGAAACTTTTATCTGATTTCATTTTTTCATCGCTGAATCCCTTATAGTGATACGGTAAAAGATACAGTATGTCTGAGGGAAAGAATAACAAAAAAAGCTAATATACATTGTATTATGATAAACGATGAATTACCCAATAAAAAATCTGCAGCACAAAAATTTCTGAATTTATCACCACTGAATTCCCAGAGATTTTTTGCTGTTGTAGAATTTAATTTCCTTAATAATATACGGACTGAGAAGCAAAAAAAAAA